TTATGAATTTGAAAATGTTATATAGTTATAGTGTTAGATGGCAGCAATGCTACCATTTATGTTACATTAAAATGATAAATCTTGTAACGCATTGTTTAATGATAGATTCATTTATTTAGTTGTATTTAGTTATTTCATATTAAATGGCAAAATAAATATTGACAATTGTATTGTATATATTTTTATGCATATATGCCATTTAATGATAAAAATAGTATTTAGTATATAATACTATGTATAATGCTATATGTTTATGAAACTAACCTAAAACTTTCATTTCGTATTTAACAATATAGTACTTATTATTAAATAATTATTTATTTCCAAAGAATTATAAATATTTATATTCTTTTAGATATATTCATGTTATTAAATTTTATTATATTAATAGAAAATAAAATAATTTTAATTCATAATTTTTATAAATTTTTTATATTTTCTATTTTCTAGTTATTTTATTTGTTTGATTTTAAAAAAATGTGTAATTGTACAATTATTGCAAAATTAATTCCTTGGAATCTGTTTGACGAGAATATACAGAATTGTTTACCTGTTGAAATGAAAAAACATTTGGCAACAATAAACATTAGCTTAAAACTCTCCCTTACAAATAAGATGTAAATAAAACATATGATTATATGAAGTAATTATAGAAATTATTAAATTTTTCTATAATATTATAAAATATTTCAATATTTTATTTATTCTTTTTTTTTTAATTTTAAATTAAGTTATTTTGAATAACTCATTTATAATTAAAATATTATATATAATATAGTAATATAAAAATTTAATAATGTATATATTTTTATGCATTTTAATTATATTGATTACATAAAAATAATATTAATAATTAATTTTTTTTTAATGAAAGAACTTCATCAATGAAATGGATAAAAGATTCATTAATATTAATTGAAGCTTGTTTGGATAAAACCTGGGAAGTATTAAATTCTGGTCATTGGCAATCAGTTCCTGTTGAATATCGATATTGTTATACTTTATGTATTATCTTAAAAGTAATGTAATACATTAATTATTTTTTTAATTTTATTTTGAATAAAAATAATATTTAAAATTTATGTTAATTTTATTATTATATAATTTTAAATACTGAAAATTTTATATTTACAGACAGTACTATTAGAATTTCAATATTATAGTAATATCAAAGAATTTACAAAAAATATAATTTTATTGAAGGATATTATTCACCAAATTGATAAAGGTATTTTATTAGGAGCACCACTTCCAAATATACCTGATTTATTACCAAAAATTGCATCAAAATTGAATAATTGTATCAGTAAGTATTAAAAGAGAAAGATAAATATAATTAAATATTATAATCAAATTAATATTATAATTAAGTAATGATAAATTATGTTGTGTAATTTTTTTTTATTCTATATTATATTCTATATTTTTTATTATATTTTACAGCAAAATCAGAAATATTGGATTTAAAAAAATTAAATATTGATTGCAAAAATTCATATGATTTTATTTTACCTGGATTTATTGAAGTTACTCAATATATTGAACCCTCAATGGAACTATTTTACAAAGAAATATTTATGCCTAAAGTACCTGCAATATTAAAAGGTAAAAAATATATTTTTTAATTTAATTTTTCAATTAATAAAATATCTTTTATTTTAATACTAAAATGTTTTTCTTCATGCAAATTTTTACTTCATATCATAAAGATTTTAAATAATGATGTGAATGCATTATTTTAAATAAAAAAATATACAAAATTTAATAAAAATTGATTATAATAAATATAGATTAAAACTTTAAAAATTTGAAAATGAAACTTTAAAAATGAAGTTTCTAATTATTATTATTTTTGTATATTATTTTTACATTTATGTCATCTAATATTTTTCTGATAAATTTTAATTTTACTTTAATTTCATGTTTTAATAATAATATATATAATACATTTTAGATTGTATTAAACATTGGAAAGCTTTAAAGCAATGGAAGGATTTAAAGTATTTAATTAATATAGCTGGAAATCGATTGGTACCTATTGAAATTGGTTCACGTTATACTGATGAAAATTGGTCACAACAACTTCTTAATTTTTCAGAATTTTTACAAAAATATATATTAACAAAAAATGATCAAATTGGTTATTTAGCTCAGCATCAATTGTTTGAACAGGTTTTATTCTATATTTTTTAAAATATTTAATATTTCCAATGAAATTTTAAATACTAAATATATAATAATAATTTCAGATCCCTGAATTGAAAGAAGATTTTACGATTCCTGAATATTGTAATTTTACAGATAATGATGATGTAAAACAGCCAGATATAAATGTTTGGTTTGGACCTAGTGGAACTGTTTCACCTTTGCATTTTGATCCTAAAAATAATTTTTTATGTCAAGTATGAAAATTAATTTTGTTTTATAATAATATATGAATAAAATTATTTTAAATTACTATATTAAAATATATATTAATTTATATATTATAAACATATATTAATTTATATTATATTATTGATTTTTGTTGCATTTTAGGTGTTTGGATATAAAAGGATTATTTTATATCATCCAAATGATTCATTGAATTTATATCCATATGATACAAGATTACTGAACAATACTGCACAAGTTGATCCTTTAAATCCAAATTATGAAAAATGGCCTAATTTTATTAAAGCAAAAGGTTTAATGACTTATTTAAAACCTGGAGAAATGCTTTACATTCCTCCAAAATGGTGGCATCATGTAACTTCTTTAACTTCAAGTTTTTCAGTTAGTTTTTGGTGGAGTTAAATATAAAAAGTATATAATAGAAAAGCAATATATGTATTTAAAAAATATTTATTTCTAAGACTTATAATTCTAAAAAAAAATATATAAATTTTGAAAAACTGTATATAAAATTCGAAAAAATGCTGTATATAAATATAATATATAATTTTATAAAATATATTTTTATAAAATATTTTATTTATAAATCAATATATATTATAATGTACTTAATAAAAATTGATAATCATTATTTTTTATATTATTCATTCATATAAATCATTATTAGACATTTCAAGTGTGTGTATATATATATAATGAAATTTAATTTATTTTATAATTATTTTATTGTTTTATGTATATTAATTTAATTTGTATTCAATTAAATTAAGAAGAAGTACGAAAATATAATTTTTTTAATATCAATGAAAAAGTAAATAAAGTTCTTAATTGAATTGCTTGATAATTATTAAAAAATTATAATACTATGTTAAATTAGTAATTAGTGCTAAATATGTTTCATTGGTTTAAATAAAATATATATATGCAAATCATTGAAGCAGATGCACCACAAAGGCGTTCATGAGAATGAAACGGAATGTTATAAATATCCTCTGACCTACGTTTTCAGTATGGAGCATAAGAAATATACGTATACGTATATGTAAAACTTGTCAAACGAAATACACAGTTTATTATTTGGGAATGATGACAGAGGAGGCATTTCCACCGATCATTAGGTTCCAGGTAAAAATGTGTGAAAGTAACATTTTTCAAAAAATGTGCATCATACTTGTGCACACTTATATATTGCAATATATATGACGCATTTTTAAAATTTCTTTCCTCTTTTCAGTGTACATCGAATTAATTATTTCCGGTTTTTAAAAATAAATATTACACTAATTTTCGATGAACGATAATTATACCATATTATTTCTTAATAGGAATTTGTTTGTATCGATATTAAAAAGATATCGATTACATATCATTCTTTTTATATTAATATATTTATATTGTAATATTGGCGAAAATCCAGTGTTTAAGGAATTAGAAACTATTTTTAGAAAATTTATATTATTAACATATTGTTAGTTCATGAAATGAAATCATAATGAATTAAAAAGTTCAAACAAATCTTGATTTCACATAATTAAATACTTTAATTTTTATATTATTTTTGAAAATTAAATATAAATAATAATGCAATATTTAATGATTTAATTATACATTTTTGTTTGGAAACAATGGAATAATTTGAATTTTAAAAACATATAATATTGAAGAATATATTAAATATAATTTTCAATTTTTTATTAAAATAAATAATTTTTTATAAATTTTTTATTTTATAATAATTAAAACATTCACTTTCGCAAAACTTTTTTTGAAAAATGCTCAATATATATATATATATTATCCTATTTTTTAAAACGTAATATTATTTTATAAAATGTAATAGTACTAATAAATGATTACTTATTCACTGCATTTTATAATTCTCTTTAACCCGTCATAATTCACTTTTTATTATATCTATAATGGTACTTTTATAAATGTTTTTTTGTGACATAAAAAGATCATAAAAAGATCGAAATTATTATTACTTTCATGAACATAATAGTAAAATAATAGATTATTTAAAAAAAAAAACTTTTTATTTGATAGTCATTTTTAAATCTGTTTAAATATTGCACATGCGTATCATCTTTTTAATATATTATCGTTTTTTTATTAGTATATTAATATATACCGTATAAAATATTGTATTTTTATTTTAATTTCTTTTTTTAGAATTAATTTAATATATACAATATATTTTTATAATAAAATTTTAATTTCATATTATATGAAAATATTTACTATTAATATAATTATTATACTTATTTGAAAATAATATAAATAATAATATAAAACTATTAAAAAACTTTGCTATATTTTATTTAATTTATTGTTCAATAATTTATTGTTCAAGACAAGATAACAATAAGATAAAATTGTATCACGAAACTCAACTTGGTAATATTTACTCGGCCGATAATTCGCACGTTGTGAAACCTGGCTAATTTTCCTAGATTGCTATATCAGAAAGTGAAAGAAATATCTAGAAGAGGAAGGAGAAAATGCATACATATATATACATATGAGTATATATATATATATTATTAAGTTTGATAGGCGCGTGCGCATAGTGATGACAAGATTCGATATATCGCATCAGTTGGTGGGAGAAAAACAAGGACAGATATTATAGGGGGTGAGAAAGGCAACGATGCAACCCCTGTTTTTCAATCGTTGCCGCTCGATTCTGCGCCTTAGTTTGGTGTACGGGGCGGCTCCTATATTCCTATTCACCTTTAGCGTTACCCCAGGAGTGCATGAATGGTGATTTAACGCGTACCGAGAAAAAGAACCTTCGTGTCCAGCAGGTGCTGGACAAGTGAAAGAATCATAGTGCCTAGAGTCTCTTATAAAGCACAATGGTTACAGATAGTACCAGTCAGGTATGATCCTATATTCATTTTGCGTAAGAGATGCCGGAATGTCGCCGGTATTTTTTCCTTCTTCAACTGATCGAAGGGTGTGAACTTTGGAATGAAACTTAAAATAATTTTATTTTTTTTTTTCGTTAATAAAAAGTACGTTATATTGAATTTTTAAATGATACACTTCTTTTATGAATTTCTTTGAATATAATACTAAATGTGAGAAAACAAAAGAAACTTTAGAATTCAGCTTGATAACCATAGATAAAGTAAAAAGAAATAGTAGGAGGGGATGATTGTAAGCAAGGTATAAATACGATATAGGTACATAGATGTTTTATAAGCCGGTTTTTATCGTGTGGTTACCCTTTTTGCAGATATTAATCAAAAAATAATTTGAATAATATAAGTAGTCATAAATAACTTAATGTGGACAAAATTCATTAATCAAGTAAGAATACATCAAAATTTTTGATAGGATAAAGGTCATGGTCAAATTATATGTACTACTAGCACATAACATAATCATTCGCACTTGAATACTTAAATATAACAGTCAAATTAAATACAATGGTTTATAAATTTTTAAAAATGAATAAAAAGATAAATATTTCATAACAATATTAGTATATTAAACTTTTAAATCATTTTTAAAAAATATACATATTTTTACTGCACTTATATGCATTTTATACTGCACTTTATACTGCATTGAATAAAAACAATATTATATTATAATTATTTTTTATCTATGTACAATATATTATAATTCATATAATTGATTTATATGCAATATGTTGTATAATATGTATTATATGATATTTATATTTTTGATAGGATTAATGATTTATAAGAAAGAAGGATTTTCTTTAATTTAAATTTCTATTTATTCTATTTTTCCATTTGTTATTTTTTTTTAAATAATATTATTAAATATATAATCAATATAATTAATAATATTTAAAATATAATTAAAAATATTTTATAATGAAAATATTTAAGATAATTGTATTATAAGCATTATAATTTTGTTGCATTGTTAATTAATAACTAATCATTAATACATCTTTTATTCGATTTCAAGTATATTTAATTTTTTTCTTTTTATTTTATTTTAATTGTTTGAAATTTAATATTTAAATTTAAAATTTATTTATTAAATAAATGATTTAAGAAAAATATTTTCAGAATGTTTGAACTATTTTACATTTACAATAATTGTTAATATTGAAAATTAGAAAATGAATATTATTATATTTAATATTGATATATTGTTTCATATTTAGGCTGACGATACGACAGCATTTCTTCGTGCTGCGCGGTCTGGGAACCTTGAAAAAGTGATTGAATTTCTCGATACCGATTTAGATATTAATACAGCTAATTCGGTAAGTATTAAGATTTATAAATTCTTGTAATTATTTATTATTTTTGTATTTATTAAATGTTATTTATTTTATTCAAATTATTCGAAATATTTTATATTTTTATATTTCAGAATGGTTTAAATGCTTTACACTTAGCATCGAAAGATGGTCATGTTGAAATAGTAACAGAATTATTAAAAAGAGGTGCTACAGTGGACGCAGCTACAAAGAAAGGAAATACTGCGCTGCACATAGCTTCGTTGGGTAAATTTAATCTTTAATTGCTATACAATATAAAATAGACTACAATAAAAAAATTAACATGTTTAATAACACGTTTCTAAAATTTATATTAAATATAATCATAAATGAATATTATTAAACAAGATTTATAATATATTTTCAGCTGGCCAAGCGGAAATAGTAAATATTCTTATTCAGTATGGTGCTGCAGTTAATATTCAATCTCAAAATGGTTTTACACCTTTATATATGGCCGCGCAAGAAAATCATGATCAAGTTGTTAAATTGTTGCTCAGTAATGGCGCCAATCAAAGTCTCGCTACAGAGGTGAATATATGTATACAATTGATTGTATTATGTAACGAATATATATACATATTTATTTAAAGTAGTACTGTATACATGAAAGACATGATAGTAACTGTATCATGTCTTTTACGTAATTTATATAATTTAGACAATAAAGAATGATTTCTTTAGGACGGATTTACACCTCTTGCTGTTGCAATGCAACAAGGACACGATAAAGTTGTCAGCGTTCTTTTAGAAAATGATTCTAAAGGAAAAGTTAGATTACCAGCACTTCATATTGCAGCTAAAAAAGATGACTGTAAAGCTGCTGATCTATTATTGCAGGTAATTTAAAATTTAAAATTAAAATAATCACATTCATAATTCTACATTTATTTTTTATTTCTATTCTTTTTAGAATGATCATAAACCTGATGTTACATCGAAAAGTGGTTTTACACCTCTACATATCGCTGCCCATTATGGAAACGAAGAAATAGCACGTTTATTAATAAAACGTGGAGCTGATGTGAATTATTTAGCAAAGGTACGAATAAATTGATATCAATAAGAATTAATAAGCTTTGATATTAATATTCTTGATTTCTTTTATCAGCATAATATAAGCCCTTTACATGTAGCAGCGAAATGGGGTAAAAACAATATGGTTAAAGTATTATTAGAAAATTCTGCGCAAATCGATGCTAAAACCAGGGATGGTTTAACACCGCTTCATTGTGCAGCAAGATCTGGTCATGAACAAGTTATTACCACGCTTCTTGAACACTCTGCACCTATTAGTGCACGAACAAAAGTATGTACAAAAATTTAATAAACAACTCATAAAATTGTTATATTACCATGTTAGTGATGTGTATAAGAATTACAATATATAATACAATAAATAATATGTCGATTTTATTAATGAAAATTATATTTTTTAGAATGGACTTGCACCATTGCACATGGCATCACAAGGAGATCATGTGGATGCAGCAAGAGTATTATTATATCATCGAGCGCCAGTAGATGAAGTTACGATCGATTATTTAACGTCTCTTCATGTTGCCGCACATTGTGGACATGTTAGAGTTGCGAAATTACTTCTGGACCGGAAAGCTGATCCGAATGCACGAGCTTTAAATGGCTTCACACCACTGCATATTGCTTGTAAAAAGAATCGAATAAAAGTTGTTGAACTCTTAGTAAAACATGGAGCATCGATCGAGTCTACTACCGAGGTATGTTAACAACTTTTTTTTATTGTTTAATTAACACTTAATTTCTCAGAAAGTGCAAGTTTTTTTTTATTCTAATTTTTATTCTTGTTTCAAATTATTGATATATATTTACTATTAATTTAAAATTTAAAATACTCATTCTTCGATCACGTTATAAACAACTAACTTTTTTAATTATTTCAACTTAATGTATTTATGAAACTAATCACGAATAAAATTTTTATTTATTTAAAATAAACTAATATCTGCGAAACGTGAAATTGATTAATCATTAATAAAAAATATTTAAAATTAATAATTTTTTTTGTTAATATTTAATTCAAGAATTAAATAAAAAATATCCTTCATTTTTTACATAATATTTATAAATATTCTATGATTGAAAAAAAGAAAAATAATAGAAATATATATTTAAAAAAAATATAACAGGTTGTTTGATAGTTATTAAAAGACTGGTTAACGGTTATTTTATATAGATTCTGTTATGATCAATACAGATGATCATTTCTATGTATTCCATATTCATAAATATATCGAAGAAGAAAGTATATTCGTTCGAAAACTGTGGAGTCATAGTACTAAAATGTTAATAGAAGATACATATATTTTACAGTCTGGACTGACTCCATTACATGTGGCCAGTTTTATGGGATGTATGAATATCGTGATATTTCTACTGCAACACGAAGCCAATCCTGACGTGCCAACTGTTAGGGGTGAAACACCTCTACATCTGGCAGCTAGAGCTAATCAAACAGACATTATTCGAATTTTATTACGAAACGGAGCCAAAGTTGATGCTCGCGCAAGGGTAAGTAAATATAAAATTGTTTAAAAACAATTATTTCTGGTACGATCAGATTTCGTTAATATTTTAACGAAAATCACACATAAAATGATACATATAAATGATCATTGTGTACTCATTGTTATTATGTATTTCGCACATTCCATTAACCAGTCTCATTTCGTTTTTTATATTGATATTACTATTATTTTTGTAATATATGCACATTTTATTGTTAATTTATTATAACAATTATTAAATAGTACGTATTATTATTATTAATATATCTATATTTATATATATGATATGATAATTATCTTGATTCATTTTAGGAACAACAAACACCCCTTCATATTGCATCACGATTAGGAAATATTGATATTGTTATGTTACTTCTGCAACATGGTGCAGCAGTTGATACTACTACAAAAGATATGTATACAGCATTGCATATTGCAGCAAAAGAAGGGCAGGAGGAGGTAATGTACAAAGAAATTTCAAAAATAGCGGATTACATCAGCACGCAAAGTAGATTATATTTATTTTGGACAAGATATCGTGAATATCTTATATAGTTTCTGTAATTAGAAAATTTCTTATTTTCTGTTGTTACATATTTCCTTCTTTATCATTTATATTTTATTTCATATTCTGTTAATTAAGTTTCGTTTATATTTGTTATATTTTATGTTAAGTTATTTATCTGTAATAAATTTTAATAAAATTTTTCACCATATTAATTATTTTTTTTGTTGCCTTTTTCTAGCTATCTCTTATATTATATCATTATTAACATCTTATAAATTAATAACCTCATTCTTTATTTTCATTTTGCATTTATTATGTATGCCATTTAGAAGTAGCTGTAAATTGATTTTAATTTAAGGTAAGATATTAAAAAATCCTCTATCTATTATAAAATATTGAGTAAATTTGTAATAATAATGTAATATATAATAGTATTTATTAATTATTTCATATATTTAGGGTTTCACAAAAGAATCCGATTAAATTAGAAATTTTAATAATATTCCAATGGAAAAAGTATAATTTTATTTAAGAAAAAAGAACACAAAATATATTTTTGGCACTATATTACGAATAATATTTCTGTATGTTTACGAGCATATTCATATTTTTTTAAATATAATCTTAATTTTTTATAATTTTTTTTTATAATTTTTCCTTTTTCCTAAATATAATTTAAAATATAAAATTGTGTGATGTACTATTCCTTTGAAACAATATAATCAATTCATTTAAATCAGTTCGTATTAATTATAAATCATCCAGATGATTCCACTTAAATATTTCATTCTATATATGTTCGAATGATCTAGAATCGCGCGAAATTTAAAAGTGAAGAATTTAAAAGTTAAATTCATCGTTTTATATCGTTTGAATTTCTTTTTCTAATTATTTCGAATATCATTATATTTTTTTATATTGTGCATCATATATATTTTCTTAATTAGCTTGAAGAAATTAATTATAGTTTCACTTGAGTTTATATTTTCATATACAGGTGGCAACTATTCTTGTGGAAAACAATGCTTCTCTTAAGGCTACAACTAAAAATGGTTTTACTCCTTTACATATCGCAGCTAAGTATGGCAATATGAGCGTCGCAAATATACTTTTGCAAAGAGATAGTAAACTTGATGCACAAGGAAAGGTATGTATCAATTATAATATTTTTCAAATTTTTTAATATTATACTTATATCAGAATTATTTACAATTTAATTCAATTAATTTAATTTTAATAATATTATTTATTTATTATTTTTTTTAATGTTCATTAATATATTAAAAATGTAAAATTTCAGAATGACATTTCTCCTTTACATTTGGCTTGCCATTATGACCATCCAAATGTTGCAAATCTTTTGTTAGAAAAAGGAGCATCCCCTCATTTAGCTTCTCAAAATGGACATACTCCTCTACATATTGCTGCACGTAAAAATCAGGTAATATCATATTATATCCGAATAAATAATAACAAAAGCAAAACTGTTTTATTTGAACAGTTTATGATTTACCATTACTCTTATAAAAAATATAAATTAATATAAAGAATTCAAAATCACAAATGTAACAAATTTAGTCTTTAATAATCAATCTTAAGTAATTGTAAATTTAATTGAAAATTTTTTAGATGGATATTGCTTCTACTCTCTTAGAGAACGGAGCAAACGCGAATGCTGAATCTAAAGCAGGATTTACACCATTGCATTTAAGCGCACAAAAAGGACATTATGATATGACGAATCTGTTAATCGAGCATGGAGCTGATCCAAATCATAAATCAAAGGTATGTAAAGTCATTAAAATTATATTTTTTGATTAAAAAATCTTTTGAGAAATTAATATTTATTAAACGGTGACGATTTTTTTTTGTCTAGAATGGTCTCACCGCACTGCACTTGTGTGCTCAAGAAGATTTTATCAAAGTGGCTTCTATACTTGTGAAAAATGGTGCAAACGTTGAAAATGAAACCGAAACTGGTTATCGACCAATACATGTCGCGGCACATTTCGGGAATCTTTCCATGATTCGATTTCTTTTAAAACATAATGCAACTATCGACGTAAAAACTAATCAAAATTACACTCCTCTGCATCAAGCTGCTCAACAAGGCCATGCACATATTGTTAGTGCATTATTAGAAGGAAATGCTTCGCATAAAGCGCGAACGAATGTAAATACTATTACTTTTTTCTATTATGTATACTGTATTTAGATTATGTGCTCTCTCTCTCTTCGAAAAATTGTATGTTATTCTCGTGATATTTATTTTATTATATAAAGTATCGATTTATATGACCTATTTCTTTCAGGATGGACTGACTGCATTAAATATAGCTCAAAAATTAGGATATATATCTGTAATGGAGGTATTGAAGGGATTGTCTTATGATACCTTGGCGCCTGATAATAAAAATTGGGACGAGAAGTATAAAGTTATCGCACCTGAAAGTTTGCAAGAAACTAGTTTTATGTCTGACTCTGACGATGAAGGAGGTATGATTCTTTTATGTAATCAAACATTGAATATGTTAATATTGATTAATTAAATTTATAAGAAAGTTAAGAATTATGTAAATAATTTTATGAATATGAATAGAATATGATGTTTCACAAACACGGATATAAACGTTCACCGTTAAATAAAAAAAATATACGTGAAACAAAACTGAACCGCGATATTCGTGTACAGGTTCAGATGCATTGATCAGCGAGCAGCCGTATCGATACCTTACAGCAGATTTGATGAAAAGTTTAAGAGATGATTCATTGCCTATTGATGTTACACGGGATGATCCAATACATAGACAAGGTAAAATATTTACTCCTTACTTTAGAAATATTACGATAACGTTTTACGTAATGTGTGGCACTGTTCTCGACCAGTTACAAAAGAAGAAAAACAGGATTTCACTCAAAGCAATAATTATTGTCTAGCAGAAAACTTTGATACTGATGGATTTAATTTGGGGTATGTAAATATTGATAATTAAATTTATTTAAATTGTGTGGTAAATAAATCATATCTTTATAATAAATAAATTCTAAAATAAATTATATCTTTAAGAAAAGTATTATTTAATAACACGTAAAGTATTTGTAGCGTAAAATTTTATATGGGAATTAACATTAATTGAAATTAAATATTTTCATTTTTAGCCGACTTCATTTCAGATCGTAAGTAATTTTTATTCCTATGATAGATAAGATACGATTGATGTATTAATTTTGATTAAATATTCAATTTTAATTCTATTTGATACCACATAATCGAAATAAATTGTGAGCATACATGATTTTAATTAAATTCTACTATATAAAATTGCAATTTTCGAAGTTTTAACAAATTTCTACTATCGTTTTAAAATTTTTTAAATCACCATTCTCTTGTTAACATAACTTTTAAAAATTAAATTAACATTTCACTATTTTTATAGTTTCAACTGTATTATAAACTAGTTTAAATTCTTACAAGATTAAATTCATTGAAATCATAATTGTCATTCAAAAATCAGCAATTTCATATGGTAGCAATTATATTTACACCTTAAGATTTGTGTAAAAAGATAATTTTAATTTTTAGATTTTTAGTAAGTTTCTTGGTGGACGCACGTGGAGGTGCTATGAAAGGATGCAGACACAGCGGTGTACGTATCATCGTGCCACCACGTAGAGCAACAATGCCGATTCGTGTTACGTGTAGATTGATAAAACCTAATAAAGTTGCAAATCCTCCTCCTTTAATGGAGGGAGAGGCTTTAGCAACTCGTATCATAGAAATGGGACCAATTGGTGCTACGTTTCTAGGGTAAATATTCTAATTCAATCGTTTCATTTGATTACTTTTATCCTTCCTTCATTCTGGAAACAATATGTATTTCATTTTAGCCCAGTTTTAATCGATATACCACATTTCGCGTCTATTCGAGGCAAGGAGAGAGAAATCATTATTCTTAGAAGTGATAACGGTGAAACGTGGAAAGAGCACGATAATTCTGCTGATAATGACACCACTTTATTAAATACTCCATACGGTATTTTTAAAAAATTTAAAAATGTTTTTATCAACATGTTTATTTTATATATATAATTTAACGTTTAATCTGTGTATACCCACTTACAGATCCTCAAATGAGCGCTACTCATTCTGGCAGAATTACCCGTATAATAACAACCGATTTTCCCCAATACTTTGCTATTATCACGAGAATCAAACAGGAGGTTCACGTAATTGGTGCCGAAGGTGGAATTTTAACATCAAGTGTGGCTAACGACGTCCAAGCAGTCTTTCCACCAGGAGCATTAACAAAGAAGATTAAAGTTGGATTACAAGTAATTTAAATTGCAATATTTCGCAATATCAGGAAATTTTTATGTTGGTTTAATATAATCGTTGGCCGTTCCTATTTCTAACTTTTATAGGCTCACGTCATTCCGGCAGAGCTTACAGCAAAATTATTAGGAAATTGCGTAGCTGTTTCGCCTGTAATAACGATCGAGCCAAGAAGACGAAAGTTTCATAAACCAATCACTCTTACGATACCTGTACCACAAGCAGCGAATAAAGGGATGATTAATCAATATGGTGGTGAAACACCAACATTACGACTTTTATGTAGTATTGCAGGTAAATGAATAATAGTTATATATTTTATTATATATATTATTATATTTTATATAATAAAAATATTCCATATATTTTTTTTTATTATTTTTCACTTTAAATTTAGGTGGAACCAGTGAGTCACAATGGGAAGATGTTACTGGGTCGACGCCATTAACTTTTATGAACGATACAGTGTCCTTTACCACAACTGTATCCGCTCGATTCTGGTTAATGGATTGTAGAAATATAGGCGCAGTTCCAAAAATGGCAACCGAATTATATGAAGAATCGTTATTTGTGCCATATATTACAAAGTATGCATACCAATATTCAATTAAATTATAATAATCGTTTCTTATTCATAAAACATTAATTTTTTTTTTTGATACAGTTTTATAATATATTCCAAACGAATGGATATGCTCGAAGCAACATTAAGAGTTTTATGCATGACCGATGGAAAAGAAGGGATGCACACTTTGGAAAGGCAAGAGGAATTTGTCGAAATTGTAAAAAGCCGCGATGTTGAAGTAAATATTGTTCATTATGTAATTTTCACTTTATTTTAATTCCATCCAGATATTTTTATAATTATTTTTCGTTACAGGCACTCGATGGGAAAGATCTTTATATTGAATTCAGTGGAAATTTAGTACCTGTGACGAAATCGGGAGTACAATTGAAATTTACTTTTAAAGCTTTTCGTCAAAATCGTTTATCTTTTCACGTAAAAGTGAAAGATCCGTTGTTGGATCCGGTTGCTAGGATGTTGTTTATGCGAGAACCGAAAGTAGCGAAAGGAGAACCGCCTCAACAACCAATTTGCGTGTTGAATATTGTTCTTCCAGAAATTATAACTAAAGTTGAAGTACAAAAGAAATTGAAAGGTAAATTTTTTTCTGTAATATATCAATATTATATACAGAGCTGGGAAGATTAATGTTTAATTACAAAATATAACGTTTCGTTCTTTCTTTCATTGCAGATTATGAAGATTCGAATATTATTAGTCAAAAATTGGATTCTTATGAATCGAAATACAAGATGGAACAAAAAGAGAAAGGCGACGAACCTAAGGATATTTCGCCTTCCGAAAAGAAATTTATTACCGACACCTTGCAAAAGGAACGAACAGGTATGATATATCTATGTTTCTTCACTTCACATTAGATTAATGATAACGTTAGAGCAATGAAGAAAATTTATAATGACATGTAAAAATTGACACAAATCGTAGTGAAAATTATTTCAAGAAAACACTAATCAATCTAATTGAATTCAAATTCAAATGCAAGGTGCAAAAAAGGAAATTTTGTATGTTCCAGCATAATAAGAAATTATTTATTATAATACACGAATTGCTTTAACGATTATGAAATTTAGATATATATGTACATATATATTAAATAAATGATTTTATTATAAAACTGATTAATAGTGATAATCGATATTTATAAACTTTAGGTAAAATTTGATATTAAAATATTAAAGAAAACATTGTTTTGAAAACAATTTCATTTCGTGCAGTAGAAAAATTTCTACTGTCATTCTATTTTCGTTTAAGAGGGTATGTTAATCTGCTTATGTCTCGAAAGTCGAGTGAGGCTTCTATAATTTAATTACGTATAACAGTATCAACAAACGTTCGATAGCTATGACGAATTCATTTAGTTTGTTCTGAACTATTGGAACTACCACTACTTTTAAAACCTATCTTCTTCTTCTTCTTTCGAGTATCATTCTACCACAATTTTCATATAACGTGAGTTTATTTTATTTAAATCGAGTTGAGATATTGGTTACACTTTTTACGTTTGCTTTGTTTGTCTATAACACACCAGTTATAACATTGTTATTACATTTTTGTTCGTTTTAAACATTAATTTCCATTTCTTTCTTATTATTTTCAGTTTCAGGTTTTTTTAAGTTCTTTAGTAATTTGCACTTAAGATCTGCGCGCTAAGTCTTAAAAAAAAAAAAAAAAAAGACCAAGAAAGAAACTTATTCCAAGAGACATTTACGTATACATGGAAGATTCGAGCGAGAAACAAGAAGAGAAAGTGGAAGAAATGGAAGATAATTGTACCCTGGAATCGGAACGGAACGAGAATGGACTATCCATAGAAAAAAGCGTGATCGATACAGAGTCTTCGAATCGAATTAACGAGGAACCAGACGTTGATCAAAATGAAAAAAATACTACAGAGTGTCCGCAGATCATTGAGGAAAATTTAAACACGTCCAAATCGAAAGAGACCGGGACGAAAGGAAAGCGTAAAATAAGATCGACGCGTAGAAGATTGAACGCTATGATTAATAACTCGTCGTTACATTTCTCTGACACCGATTCAGAGGGAGAGTTAACTACGATTAATTCGCAAGTCAAACCTTTGAATAACACGGAACAAAAACCAATTATTTCCGTGACATCTGACATCATAGAAAATGAAAGCTCGAATTATTTATCACTGGATGATAAAGATTTCGTTAAGCGTAATAATTTTATTGAGAATATGACAGATGTGGACGAAATTTATCCAAGCGAGTTAGAAAACGAGGAGAAAGAGAATCAAGATCATCTTAAGATTGTCAATACTCCTTTCCAAACAGAAACGGATCTTGAGGATCTCGAAGGCGAAGATGAAATACAATCACCCATCCATGTGAAACCAAGGTCTGATATATTTTGCGACTATAGCGGGGAAACGATCACGTCCAAGGAAGGTGATGGACCATTCTCCGTGGAAGTGCGAAATAAAATGTATCGAGAGGATAGTCCACGGAACGAGACTTGTGGCGCCACGCCAGACATTGTGGTTATGTCGAACACTGATGAAGAAGACATGGCTGTATCCGGGGACGAGGACGAGCAAGAAGCTTGTTGCAGTCAAAGAGAATTATTCGAGGATTTGGACGTTCTTGTTGCGTCTCAAGTTATTATGAAAAATATGAATAAAATGGAGAACTTGTTAACTGTGAAAGAAATCAGTGATGACGGAACTAGCGATTGTCATACCGATGTAGAAGAAGTTGATACGATTGAGTAAATTATAAATTGAAAATCGTGTGGACGGTAAGAGCACGAATTTAAAGAGTCCGCTTTTTAACGGATTATTTCATGTTACGCAAATACTGTAAGAATTTGATCTGTATTAGATCTAGTTTATTCTAATTAAGTACTGAAAATGATGCGAATGCATTGAATATTATCTTGTATGTTAATCGATATTTATTACAATATACACATGTTATTCAATTATAGAGAATATGAGATGAACTTCATATGACTCGATGTATTATGTTGTTACACATAATATCTATGAAGAAAATATTCTATGAATACTGAAGAATTGCCTATTTTATATTCAATATCAAACTGAGAATATTGATAATTTAAAAAAAAAAAGAAAAATATATATGCATATATATGTTAAACTCTCTCTTATATATTTGTAGGATTTTAAAGTGAATTAACAATGATGTCTTATTCTGCATTTATGTAATTTCACAAAAAAAGTATGATGTTTGTGTTGCAATTATAGAAATATATATTTCTTATTATAATTTGGATTATTTTATGACAATACTATTTTACTTTAAGACAAAAATAAAATTTTAAATTTTTCCTGTGAGTTTCTCATAAATATTATAGGTACGTTAAAATTTTCTTTTTTATATGAAAGAATTTACTAATTAAACTATAATAAATCGTTTTTGTATTACTATATTAATATTTTTTTGCGATTGTTTCCTATTTGAAAACAATATTAATTGATTGCAATTATACGTACATAATAAACATATATTTATATGTATAATCAATTAGATTCAAAAGTAAGAAAGAAAGATGAGTTTCCTATTTTAATATTTTTTAAAAATTAATTAGATAAAAATATTTCTTCAATATATTATTTTTGACAAAATTATTAAATTACATATTATAAAACTTAAAATATTTTTGTAATTTTATATATACACTTAATCAATCATCAAATATTGAAATATTAAATGGCATAAAATATATATATATTATTTTAGTCAAATTATTTTGATCTTTATCGTATTAAAATTAATTTTGTATGGAAATCTTTTCTTTCCTTTTTGCACCATGCTTTGAGTACATAAAATTTTTACTAGTTTTTCAACTTTATCAAACTTTATTTGGATGTATATTGGAGTATTATAATTACAAATCTTTTGAAAGATTTGAAATTAACTTGAAAAAATTAATAAGAGAAATTGTTAAAAAAAGACAGATTATGTATACACATGTCGCAAAAATTAACCGACTAAAATATTTTTGCTTTAATGTTATCATTTAGTATTAACGCAATATTCTGTACTTATACTTGCAGACAAAACTGCCGTCCTCAACATTATCATAGACAACCGTATGGGATATTAATTTTAAGTCTTGAAGGTTATTAATTATATTTATAGATATTAAAAAAAAGAAAAAAAAAAGAAAAGAAAGAAGAAAAAAAGAGCAATTAAAGTTTATAGAGGATATTTAGAGTTATATGTATTATATACTTATATATTTCTGTGTGCATGTTAAAATTTTAAAGAGAATTAACAATGCCTCGATAACCCCGAGAGTTATTTTTGAAATTGTATTTATTCTTCTGAAAAAAGAATATTATTGTTATTATGTACAGTAACAAAAAGTTTACGATAGTGTTGTATCTCTATTAACATTTTAACAAAATGAAATAAAATAAAAGAAAGAAGAAAGGAAAAAAAATCGTGTTTACGAGTGAAACAGTAAGCTTGTGAAAGTTTGATCGCATAATCCTTAATAAGAGTTAATATTAACGCGAGATTGTAAATAATACGAGAGAAAAATGTATTTCATTCATTACAATGTACCGTTATCTAATAAAAAGTAATGTGAGAATAATTCTTGGTTGTTCTAGATGCTGTTACTATCCACGAAATCCTTGCGCAAAAAGCGGCTTCTCCCCTAGAATCTGTAGATGCTAGTTATCCCAGTAAAGTAGTCGGGCAAGAGCAAGATTTGTCGCCAAGTGTCGAGAGACAAACTTATTCAGAGAAGAGGAAATTCTGGGAGGATATATCAAGGAAACGGGAAAGTTATCAACGATCGGAATCGGAGGTGTCGAGAACCTCGCAGTTGACGATAAACGAGAGCGACAGCGAGTACATACAGAATGTAATCACCGAGGACACGGCAGACATTGGTCAGCAGCAGATCGACAAGTCTGAAACGTTAGAAGATTTGAACGTGCCCGATATATCCGAGTGTTCTGTGGCGGAGAAAGCGCAATATTTCGAGGAGCAAATACAAAAAGAGACGACGAAACTTCCGCCCAAGTTGCATCAGCAGGACTCGTTGAAATCCGAGAAAGAGAAGGTAACGAAGATTAAGATAAGCGAGAAGGAGAAAGTGGATAAGGATGAGAAGTATGTGACTGAATTGAAACAGAAAAAGGTGGAGGAGATTGTTACGTTGCAAAAGGAAGAGCAGAAAGAAGGGGAGAAAAAGGAGAGAAGATTGTCCGAAGAGGATGAAAAGGAAAAAGATGAAAGTAAATACGTGGAAGTAAGCGAGGTGTCTGTGTCTGAAAAGGAATTGGGAAAAGAAAAGGAAGATGTGAAACTCGATGAGATCGTAACCGAAGTATCTGTAAAACCTGAAAAATTAGAGGAAGATATTGAAAGGTTAGAATCTACGCCTGTTGTAACATCTGTAGAGAAAATTACGATAGAGGTGGAAGAAAAAATGGTGGAACCGATAATTACCGAAGAAAAATCGGTTGATGAGATTAAACGAGTGGATGAAGTAGAGAAAATGAAAATTGTGGAGGAAACTCCCGTAATAAAAGATCAATTAGCCGAATTAAAAGTTAAAGATGTTGTGGAGGAAGAACGTAAAACAGTTGTTATCACTGAAGTACCTGCTCAAGATATTGTAGAAGATGTAAAAGTAAGAAGAGAAGAAGTACAAGAGTCAATTACACAAATAAAAGAGATGGAAGAAGAGAAATTAAAGGATGTTCTAAAATCTGTAGAAATAAGCGAGCAAAAAGAAAAATTAAAAAAAGAAATAGAAGAAAAAGTAGAACTAATATCGGAAGTAAAAAGGAAAGAAAAAATTATAGAAGAGAGTGCAGAAGACAAGAAAGTCTTAAAAGTGGAAAAATCTATTCCTGAAGTGAGCGTAGAACGAGAAACGATAGAAGAAAGTATAAAAGAAAAAGAAAAAGACGTCGAAGTTACGAAAATAATTATTCATGAAGAAATTATAAAGAAACACGTAGAACCGGAAGTGCAAGAATTTATTCCAGAAATTGGTCCAGAAGAAAAAATCGTAAGCGAAAAGGAAAGCACAGAGCAAAAAGAAGAAGCAGAAAAGATTGTTACAGAGATTGTAACTACGCAACAAGAAACAGTGGAAGAAAGAATTGAAGAAAAAGAGAAAGAACCAAAAGAAATAGATACGGAAATATTATTACGAGAAAGTATTAAAGAAGGTCTAGAGCAGAAAGAAAAAGAAGAAAAAGAAATTGTAAAGCGAAAAGAGGAAAAGAAAGAGGAATACATAGAAGAAGTTTCTGCAGATATAAGTGATGAACTAAAAGAAATAGATACCGAGAAAAAACAGGAAGAGATACTAGAATCCATTAAAGAAAAAAAAATGGAAGATGTGAAAGATGAACGCGAAGAATTAAAAATGGAACCTGCGAAGAAAATAGAAAAGGAAGTGGAAGAAATTATTACAGAAAGGAAATTACAACGAGAGATAATCACAGAAGCAGAAGCGAAACGAGAGAAAGCACAAGATGAAGTTGCTAAAATTGTAGAAAAAGAAGAAAAGGAAGAAAAGGAAGAACAAGAAGTTGTTACAGATTTAACCGTCCGGGAAAGAACTTTAACGCCAGAAACAAAAAGAGAGGAGATCATTAGAGAAAAAATGGGTGGAAGACGTATTATAACGGAAGAAACTACTATTATCTACAAGGTACAGAAAGATGGTACTCTGGTACAAGAACAAGTATTGAAATCTGTTCAAGTGGAAGGGGGAAGCGATGCTTTAGGCGCATTAACCCAAATGCCTGAAAGTAAAATCGAAACTAAGGTAATTCGTGAGATAGAATCGATTGGCGATATTAAACCTGAAGTTACTTTCTCAACGGATATTAAACAGGAGATGCAAAAGTTTATGGAAGAAGAAAGAAAACCAGAAATTGAAGTTAAAGAAGAAATAAGATTGGTTGAGAAAGAAAAGTTGGAGAAAGTATTTCCTGAATCGATCATAAAAGAAGATAAAGAAGTTAAGGGGAAAAAAGAAGAAGAAGAAGGAGAATTAAAGAAAGGAGAGAAAGAAAAAATTTCACTGCACAAAGAAATAGTAACCGAAGTTGAAACGAAACAAGTTAAGAAAGAATTCGAGTCACGTATCCCTATTTCAACGGCAAAGATGGACAAAGATAAAATTCAAAAAGAAACGAAGTTTAAAACTACGATAGAAGAGAAACGTGTTCCAGGTAAACTCGAAGTCGATAAAGAATTAATCACGGAAAAGGAGGATATTTCGCCAACAACTAGAAAGAAAGAATTCGAATCTCGAATACCGAAGCGGGTAGTAGATGTTAAATCAACGTCCGATAAAGCTGGAAAGAAGGATACGCACGTAAGAAAAGAAAGCGAATCGTACACGATAACGGAGAAGAAATCGAGCGAAGAAATAACTTCAAAATTGGAGGAACATTTAACGACGAAAAGTGAAACTCAAACATTTTCGAAAACTTTCACCGATCCTCGGGAAGCTTTTAAAATGTTCGAGGATATGGACAGTTTGGGAAAAACTGCTGAATTCGCAACGGTGACGTCTAAGATCGATCATAAAACGTCGAGCATGTTGGAGAAGAAAGAAGTTGTATCCTCGGAGATTTCCACCGGGAAGGACAAGGTTATCACGCACGAGGAAAAGGAACGGGTGGAAAAGAAGAAATCGTTGGAATCGCAATTGAAGAAGGAGTCGCCGACCGAAACGTTGGAAGAGAAAAGCACTAAGCGCGAGGAATTGGACAAAACAGCGATTCAAAAATTGTCAATGAACTTGACGGATACTCAAAACATAATAGACGCAGCTGCGTCCGAATCGAGAGCTGAAACGAAAAAAGAAGAGATATTTAAAAAGTTATCGGACGAAGAGGGAGTTACGACCCAAGAGGCGGGTAGCAGTATATCGAGGGAGAGCGACGCCGACGTAGCTATTCGAATAAAGAAAGAGATAGCTAGGAAAACTGGGTACGAAGAGGAGGATGTAAAAGTGGTGGAAGGGAAAGCAACGGAAAGGATATCGAGGCCAGTTGCGGATACGGATCAAATCGAGACGCTTGCTCAAGGGGAGTCGCACAAAGAGACGAAAGAAAGTTTCAACGTTGTTCAATTCGTGCCAAGTGAGAAGAGGGCGAAAGAGAAGGAGGAGGAAGGGGAATTGTCGAAAGAAGAGAAGGAGGAAGCAGCGCGACCGAGTGTAAGTTTGGAGGAGCAACAACGGCAAAAGTTCAAAGAGATCGAGGCGCGTACCATAGCGGAAACTCTGATTCAATCGATCGAGAGCGAGATCGAAGCGAAATCGGCGGCTGATTTGAAAGCGGAGTTGCTCAGCAAAGGATATTTGGAACAGATAATAAGCGAAAGCGTGGAAACGGATCACGAGAAATTGGCGGACGATTTGACGCGCAAATTCGAAAGTATCATGAAGAAAACGGCGCAAGAGAGGGCGGGGCGCGTGGAATCGCCACCGAGGTTTAGATCATCGATACAGGAGGAATCGTTGGAGAAAAGTTCGACCAGGGACAGTATAAGCGTTAGCGAAGATATAACCAGGGACGAGGAATCGTCGCCCCACGAGAAAGAAGAAAGTTTCCCCCTTTCGTCGTCGCAGGCTAAACTCCAAGACAGAGATATTACCATGAGCCCCAGTAGCATATCCGAGCAGATAGATTTCGAAGAAACGATCGACGTAGATACGAACGAGTTGGAGAGCGTGTCGAAACCAACCGCAAGCCCGCAATATGAGAAACAACGATCGAGCAGCCAAGTGAGTTTTTTCCCTCCTGACAAGATGGTGTCCGAGATTTCAGGCGCCAGAGTTTTGGAAATACTGGAACCCGGTATGGACAGTCAATCGAGAGAAGATTCGGTGGACGTACCCTCGTTAGAGATGGACGAGCACAAAATATCGGAGCAGACTAGTAGAGGAATACCATCGTTGCGCGAGAGCGCGGAAATGGATTCGTTCGAAAGGCTGGCTCAAGAACGAGATATCACGATCAGCCCTAGCACCGTATCCGAGGATACGAATATAGATTATTCTTTGGTGCAAGAGTCGTCTCATCCTATTGGAGGGTCCCAAAGGGAATTGCCTATGATAAGCGCGAGAAGAGCGGACAGTTTCGAAATCGAAAGTCCTCCACTCGTCTCGCCAAAACCGAAGGTTCGCGGCCTCGAGATTATTAAACCTGTCGATTGGATGATCGGTGACGAGAAGATCGAAATATCGGAGACGTTGCAACCGTCACAGATCTTTAATCAAGAATTGGAGGCGTACGAAACGATGATCAAGAAGAAGGAACGGTTGTCCTCGTTGGATGGATCGACGGATCACGAGCAGGAATCCGGCACTAAATCGTCGGAGGACATCAGTGTGATAGAATCGACGAAGGAGGCAGCGGTTGCGGATGACGATCGTAAACTTACGAAATTCACCGTGATTCCCGTTAGCGAGCAAGATTTTGAAAACGAATTGGTGGAGAATAAATTGGACGTTAGTTGTCAGGAATTGGTCGATACGTTGCAGCGCGAATACGACGCAAAAACGCCTATTGAGGAAGACGTGGAAAGTGCTCAACAACGACAACAAACTGTCTCGTCCACCGATGAACGGTTATTGAAATTGGAAAAAGGCGAAGAAGAAGTTTTGCAAGTGGAAAAATCCGTGATGGAAGAACCCAGCGATTCAACTCGAACGATCGAAGAGCAAAGAGTGGAAAAAGAAGAGGTGAGAGAAGAGGTGAAAGAAGAGGGGACGAAGAAGAAGGAAAGCGAAAAGATAAAGGAGGAGGAGAAGGAAAAGGAGGAGAAGGAGGAAGAGGAGGAGGAAAAGGCGAAAGAAAAAGAAGAGGCGAAAAAAGAGGAGAAAGCGAAGGATGATGCGTTGGCTAAACCTTTGAAAAGCGAGGAAGGTAAACAGGAGAGAGTGGTGGCAAAGCCGGAAATCGAACTGAAATTAGAGAGAACAACTGACGAGTTGAAGGAATGGACGGAAGCTTATTTGTCGAAGATGAAACCGTTGAGCGAAGATTACAAAAGGCATATGGAGAAGGCTACGGAGAAGCACGACAAGCCTGGAAGATCGACGACAGTTCCTTCCGACACTTGTGCCTTGAAAATAAAAAAGATGATCTCTCTAGTGTTGATTTAAGTGCACGATACGCTATAACCGTTCTAGATCAGGTAGTTAAAAAAGAGATAGCCGAGGTGAAGGAGTCTTTAGAGGCGGCTAAGCAAGACCTGATAGAGGAATTAAGCGAAAATAGTGAAACTGTGATCCAAATAAAAGATTCCCCCTCAGAGTTCCGGTTTAAATTACAACCCGAATCCATTCCGAACGATTTACCATTTTTATACACACCGGCGTATCCTGCTGCCGAGCAAAGTATCCACGAGTCGGATACCGAAGCGACAAAGGGCGAATCCCCGGCTGATAAATCGCAATCGCGACGCGAGACGAAAGATATCGATCGAGGTGAAACGGAGACGGGAGATGGGTCCGGTGGTGTCGAGGGGCCGATACGTGAAACGCATAAGGATACACCTGTGATTAAAACCGATAAGTCTGACGTAGAGACTGCTGTAATAACCGTCCAATCCGAAGATACGAAAGACGAGGAGGAAGTCCGCGAAGAGGAACATCCTAGCCCCGTGCCTGCCAGCATGTCAGGCTCGGACATAGACAATAAAGACGAAAGTTCTTCTTTGGCTTTACCGCGTCCTGTACTTAGAAGACGTCAGAAACCCGGTAGAAGTGCTAAACGCATCACCTCCGACAGCGACGCGGATCTCGGTTCTAGTTCCGGCGAGAGTAGTAATTATCAATCGTGCGACTACGAAATCGGTAGCGGTAGCCGACCTAGTTCTTCCGACGTAGAAGCGATGCAATCGTGCGGTGTACCTTCCGCCACTGCCTCGGAATACGAAACCGCGATGATGTCGGTCGAGCACTCCACCTCTTCCAAACCAACCTCGCAGGAGTATCAGACGGCGGCCACAACTATGAGCTCGCGCGAATCGATGAAGTCTTTGACCTCTTTGAGCTCCGGCCATCTTGGCAGCATTGACAGTACCAGCGAATTGTCCGAGACTTTGGTAGCGTCCGAGGCGGATGCGGATAAAGAGGAGGAGGAGGAGGAAGAAGAGGAGGAGGAGGAGGAGGAGGAGGAGGAGCGTCTGGACGGTGGTCTGGACGGGGAGCAGACCGAACAATCGGACTCCTCCGGTAGCGATATACCGATCGACGAGCCAATGGACGATATCTACAATCGGGCATCTTGTCGCATGAAACGATCGTCCGAAATGATCTTCCCGCAAGTCCTCGAGGCGGCAGCTCTCGAGGAATCGCCGGCCAAGGACACGAAGGGCGTAGATTTCGCCACGTCCACGTCGGCAACGGGAGCCGGCCCTCTTCGATCCGTCGATATAATGACATCGCGAGTTTCCGAGGACGGGGTACAAAGCGTGTGCACTCAAGTAATTTCGACCCAAGCTGTGGAGGCCGAGGTAGAGGGGCCATCCAAGGTGGAAAGCCCCCTCGAGATGGGGACGGGTGACAAGGACGTGGTGGACGAAGGAACGTTGTTGGACGCGCAAGCGATCGAGTCCGAACTCTCGGAGCAGAGATATGGAAGCGCGACGGGGCAAGCGACGAGCGAAAGTCCGGAAATGTCGATGCAAACGTCGTCGACACCCTCTATAGTGCAACAGGCCTCGATGTCGACGTCCTCGACGTCCGGCGTGTCTATAGACACGGTGGTGGGGAAGGAGAAGTCGGATCGTCAATCGCCCGACAGCGATTCGTTCGAGATGGTCGATAAACCCGATATCATCGACGATTTCGTGGTCATAGAGGAGGTTGGCAGGGAGGCTGAGGAGTACGATTCCGAAGGGAAAAGTATACGTATCAGTTCTATACCCCAGGTGGTCGGGAAACAGTACGATCGGGATCTCGAAAATCTTATAACCGAGAACAAGGAAGATTCGCAAGTGTCTACGAGTCAAGCGTCGAAGAACAACGAGCTGTTCGACTTCGAGTCGGAGGAGAGCCCGCCTCAAGTCTCGAACGACGATCAATATTCCCAATCGTACTCGGACGACGAGCAATACGAAGGGGGGAAGAAGTGGATAGAGATGCAATTCCACGCGGATCCACGAGTCTACGACATCGAGTACGATCGAGGCCCTTTGGAGGATATAAAGGAAGAGGAGATCACCGACTTCGAGGCTGGCAGCAGTAGATTCGGAAGCTTAGGCAGTCACAAAGAATCGATAGGAAGCGTGGGCAGTATGCGAGGCAGTTTCGGGAGTACCCCCGACTACGATGTCCTGGCGGGCAGGAAGTATTTCACCAGGCCATCCGATCACGACAACGTGTCGTTGAGCTCGTTGCAAGAGTTCGAGAACTTGGAGAGCGCTGTCGCGGCTGAGAATTCTAGAAAATTGCAGTGCGGCTCCCACGATTCCGTGAACAACGGTAGTCTTCCAAGGAGGTACATGACCAGCCGATCCGGCCACGGCGACGACATCTCGTTATCTTCGTTGAAGGATTTCGAAGGGCTGGAGAGAGCTTGTAGGGAGGCGCATTTGATCGAATTGCGGGCAAGGGAGGAGGAAGACTTGTTAGAACACGAAAGCCCCGAGAACAAGTACAAATTGGAAAGCCTAACGCGAACGAGGGTCGACACGAGCACGGCCGGCTCGTTCAACGCGAGCACATCGGGCTCGGATGATTACGAGAAGAGAATAAAGGAGATCGACGAGATAATACGGATAGCCCAGTCGAATGTGGAGAAGTCCGATCGGCAAGACGACACGACGGAGGATATTTCGCAAATCGAAATCACGGACGCTGAGAAAATTGGGTCTCAGGCAGGTGTGCAACCTGTTTCGAAACCGGAGGAGGAACTAGAGGAGCCGACCCCGTTGCCTCTTCAAAGAGAGAGCAACGTTATGGAGACGAGTACGGATTCCCTCGAGTTGGAGGATAATATGGATAAGAAGCATCACCAATTATGCCGAAGTTCCGACTCGTTGGAGATGAAAACCACGCTGGATTTTCCTTCGTTGAGTTCGGACTCGTTGAACAATGTGCGGGACGCAAGGGAGATGCAATCGGACGTAGCCGAGCACGCGAGCAACGTTAGACGTATTTCTTCGGACTCGTTGGACATGCCTTTGCTCGAACAACAAGATTCCGAAAGACCGAGCAACGAAGATGATCGTTCGGATGGTGTCACGTCGGACAATTCCTTGGAGCACAGATCGGATGCAGGGGAAACCGATAGAAGCGATAGAGCGAGGACAACACCGAGCACCAATACATAGGAATATTTTCGTAGGTACGTATTGTTGTCACGAATTGCACGTAACAATAATTATTCATTTCAAGATTTTAAGAAAGGAAAATTGTTACTTTTAATCGCGCGTTAAATTCGTAATATTCGTTTTGTTCCAGATAGTGGACCATCAAAGTGAATTTGTTACAACGTTGGTTCTTAAGGCTACAACGATGTATTATTGAACCAATTGAAATGCTTTACATAATACAGCATAATATAATGAAAAATGAAGTACTAAAAGAAATACTTGCGCGTTGTGCATATGCAAGGTATTAAAATGCATTTATCTTTATTTTATGCGACGTTTTATAAGAATAATTGTTTTATGATGCTTAAGTGAAATAGTTATTATCTTTAAAATATAGGATTGTTATTAAAATGAGGTAGAAACACGAATGACGCTTATTCATTTCTAAATTATTAAAGTCTATATCAAAAAATGAAAAAAAAAAAACAAAAATTGTAATGCTTTTGATCTTACTACTTATTTAAACAATTACGAGTTATCTTGCTTCGTTGTTCACGATTGTTTACAATAATTAAGTTTATATCGCAAAAATTGTACTTTTTAAATGTTATTCTCGTATGTCCTACTTGTATGATAATACTATTATATAAAAAAAAAAATGTCATGTTTTTGTAAATTTTTCGATTATAACGTGTCTTTGTGACTACGCTTTCTTAAGGTGTTGACAGGTTTTATTGAACACTTTATATTTGCATACTGATTTTCAAAAAACGTTTACGAGCTCTAATACTCGTTAATCTTAATTGCAAGTGTTCACGAAAGAACAAAAAATATATTAATTAAATAGAAAATTTTATATACAAACCGTAATGTATAAGATCTTAGGGGGAAAAAAAATATATATATTATCAAGAGAGTGCATTCTCTGATTAATGTACGATGCATATGTGCAAATGTTATAGACATTTTTTGTATGCGAAGTTTTAACCAATTATGAGATATTGCTTTGATCTATTTGCTGATAATGAATTCGATGTATTTTATCGATCGTAAGAATTTTTAACGTTATGTCAAAATTTTAACGATGTTTTTCATTTATCTGTTTTTCATAATCTGTTTTTTTTCCATCGATGAAAATATAAATCTATATGAACAAAATAAAATATTCATCATTTATTGAAACCCCAATGTTCTTCGCGATAGTTGCTTGGACTACATATTTGATAGAACTTCAATTATTATAGCAATAACTTTGTCTAACAATATATTATAAGTTTAATTAATTAATAAATGCAAAAATGCGTACAAAACGTTGTAAAATAAAATGAAGAGAACAAAGAAGAAATACAAAATACATGCTACACACACGAAAATCTTTTTTCGGTAGTTCCTTGTAACCCTTATTTAAAAAAAAAAAATCGTATTCTCACTTTTATAATTTTTTATAAATATACACAAATTAGCATAATGTTTTGTTTCATATTACAACACAATAAATATGTTCTTTATAAGTATATAATTCTTTATATTATATAATTTATTATATGTTTATTATATATTTATTATATAAGTATATAATTCTTTATAAGTATAATTATATGTATATCTTTTTCACACAAAAATTATTTGACAGAAGTAAATAGAAAGATAAAGCGAAGATAAATGAAATTATAAATAACATATGTAAGTTTTTTTATAAATAATACCAAATCTTTGAAACAAATTTATTACAGAAACTATACTGGAAATATATTGGAATAGAATAGTAGGAGATAATTTAGTAGTATTAGTTTTGTAAAAAATATATTCATTATTTACATACAAATAGTTGATAATCAGTATTTTTTACATATTTTGATAACAAACTAAAAGATATATTCGCTTTCAACACTTCTCAGCAGAAGTATTTTAATTTTTCGTTCTAATTTAATACAACTGAATAATAAGATAATTATAAGACTTACAAGACTTACAAGAATAATTATAAGATTTATTAAACTCAAAATTATTGTTATTCCTTTTTTAAATGATTCGATTATTTTTTATTATTTTATGATGTTTATTATTTATGAAATATATATAATAATGATATTGAATAAAATATTATTAATTACATAAATATGAATGTGATAAAATAATTATATATAAATATTTTCATCACAAAAAAATTAATTAATTTTTTTTATTGATATTTTTATATTTATAAAGATTTTG